CCTTAACAAGCTGATATCTTAATTTACAATCGTCTAAGCTAATAATCGTATTAAGCATAGGTTTTGGCCAGCGGTTCATTTACATATAATATTATTATCTATATACTTTGCTTTAAGGATATCTTGTGTAATTTTAATTGGTTGCCAACCGAGGTCGCAGTAAAGTGCTTCTTTTGCAGTGCCTTGTAAAGGCATGAAGCGCTATATAAGAACGACATATTATTATTATTATTATTACTTCGACTCGCTTTTAGTATGGTCCGCGCCATTTGTAATTGAAGAGACTCTACTTTCTCTAAATCTTTAGTATTTGTAATAACACATACAGCACACGCATAATTGATTGTGGGAAGGCCTATACATTTCCAAAGAACATCACCATAATACACGCGGTTAAAATCATCAAGCCTGTCTATAATGGATATAATATATGCGTCTACTTCCATTTTGATGGACAGCGCTATGCGGTTCGGATCCTGGACCTATAACAAGAATCTTCTGAATCTCGTCTACCGGTCACCGACCGGGGACATCGCTAATTTCATAGATAGTGGCGAATGGGAACTAGACGGAATGCCGGTAAAACGCATCGAGAACAAGTACGCTTGCTGTGAGGATGCGTTTTCTGTGTTGGTGCAGGTTGGAGTACACAATCACCATCTCTCGTCGACCATTCTTTTACTTATCCAACTTGATAGTCCCATGTTTTCTTGTCACTGCGTTGACAATTTTGGCATTTTATCTACCTGCACACGCTTACGAGAAAATGACGCTCTGTATTACAATTCTTCTTTCGCTGACTGTGTTCCTATTACTCGTTGCAGAAACCATGCCCCCTACATCAGAAGTCATACCAATCTTATGTAAGCTATTCTACTATTATTCAAAGATACAGTAAGCAATAATCAATTGTTTATTAATGTTTGATCTTTATTTTCTTCCAACAGGCCAATACTTCTTAGCAACCAAATGATCATAGTCTTTCTCTCAACAGTAGTGTCAGTAGTAGTTCTGCAGATCCACCATCGAGGAGGCCACAATCTAAAGGCACCAGGATGGCTTCGCAGAATAGCATTTGATTACTTAGAACTTATATTTTGTCTGACCACACCCTGCAAGAAGACCACTAGATCAACTAAATACAGTTGTAAATGATCTGTGCACAGATGGTGGGCCGAACAGAGGCCCGGCATGGTAGAACTCGCCGAACGTAAGAACTACAATAACCACATCTCCAGGAAATGTAAGCTACATGGCTTACTAGACATAATTGGTAAATTTCTGCAGACTTATATATCAAGAGATATGAGCAAATGGATGTTGATAGAGAAAGAGAGTCTGAGTGGATACGTATTGGTTACGTCATTGACAGGATCTCTTTGTGGTTCTTTAGTGTTCTGACCGTTATAACAACAATTGCTATCTTCGTAAAGCCGACTATACTTTCGTAAGTTTTGTCTCTTTGGGGGCGGCATAACATTTTCGATGCGTGGATGTCTGTTTAAAATGATTATATAATATACTGCTATACTGCTCGTTTGATGAAAAATACAAAGAAAATCAACTATTGGTTGTATTTGTTTTATTCAAATAAAACTAAGTAATCAGAAGTAATCACGATCTGACATGCAAAAAATACTTTTAAAATATTTTAAATTGAATGTCTTGATGCGATATTTAAATTAGATTCCTACTTATTTTGGCAGAGCAGGGATTCCTAGCAATACTAAATGGCAACGTGACATTTAACAATAATTAATAAAAATAGAACACATTTCTATAGCGCCAACTAAAGCAAAAACGGGCTTGTCACACCGGCGCTAGGTTGAGCTATTTGAAGGGGAAGGATTTAAGATTGGATTTGAACAATTCAGGATCAGAGATGATACGTAATACATCTATCTTTCAACATTTTGAATAAAAAACGATGTAGTTGCGACACCCTATGAACTGTCAATTGTTTAGTGTCAAGAAATTATGAGCAAACCTCATGTCATTCGGCTTGAATCAGTAGGATGGGAAAAATAAGGCTTAAAGTTTATGCATTGTCAATATTCCACTAGGATGATAACATTATAGATAGAAGGCAATTCGTCAAAAAAAAAATACATCAAATCTATTTCATTACTGATAATGTTCAAAATGATTATCAGAAAGGTGTTCTTCATACTGCTGTGTAGATGGAAAATAACTGAATCATGAAAAATTGGTCCCAACAATTTTGTGAACCTTTTGACTTGGTCGGCCCCCAATTATTTTTCGTGGAAGGGGTTCACAGACCCCAGGTTAGGAACCACTGGTTTAGACAATGAAAAGATTATTTTTTTCAAAAAATACACATGCTCGTAATAAATCTAATTGGCTAATTTACTTTATCCTTGTTCGTCTGCTTCGCTGCGATTACGCTGATGTTAGTTTGGAACACATTTGAACCATCGACCTATTGAACAATTGACTATTTAGTAATTCATTATTAAAAATGAAACTCTAACTATAAATTTAACACCACACTTATTAAACAATTTCTTTTCTTGAACCGTTAATCGGAACATTATTACTGTTTTAACAATATCGCGTAAGTGCTCTTCAGAGATTCCAAGTCAGACAAATTCGCAGGCACGAGATTATTGAAAACCAAGTTCTTTGCCACCCTAGGGTAGTATTTTCGCAACTAAAAATCTATTCAGAATCTGCATTTTTCCCTTAAGAATACATAATATATTTCAGGTCCCCAACACGAACTTTTCGCACTGACATGAGTTGACCGAGTGGCAGTGTGTAGGTGTTCTTTGATCGTACTCGAAACGCTTTATAAAACGACATATTCACAGTATTTGTGCGCATCTAGTTTTATCTAATCAAAAATAATAGTGAGTAATTTCACTGATGCTCACCATACGGTATTAAATGAGAAACCATATCAAAAAAGGGTTGGGCCACGTTAATTTGGATGACAAACCTTGAATGTGCGAGCCTCACGCTGAATGAGAGACTTCGTCGGTCTCGTTCTTTTACAGCAGTCTAGTAACATGAACTTGAATATGACAAGAATATTTTCATTAACAATTTAAAAAATACATTCTTTTATACTCACACTACGTGAACATGTTATTAAAATTATCAAGCAATAATATGTTTAGATAAGAACACTTGTAGACATCGAAGGAAGCAAGTCCTGGACAAAATACAGACTAGGATAACAAAATACAAAAAAGTTAAGCACATCAAAATGTAATATTATTATTAATAATAATAGTAATTAATATATTGTATTACAGGTACTGTTATTCATTAGGGAAAAAATATAAAAATATACTAAGGTGATAAATTACTTTAAAAATAAATATATGATTAATTTACATTTCTTATCCAAGATAAAACGCCAGAATGTTCTTAATTGGCAGCCCGCAAGCCAAATTTGGCAATTCATTTTGGCTCACGAGAAAAATAAATTATAACAAAATGATTTAAAGAAACTAAAAGTAACAATCAATCAATGAATATTTTTTTTCAATAAATTGCATCTACCTTACTACTGAGATCTAGAATTAAATCTGTTGCTAACCAATCGACAAATGCTCAAGAATACTTGGTAGCCTTGTTCAGCTAATTATGACATAGACTTATCATAGACTTATTATGAGTAGACCCGAGATCTTACAGGCGAAATTTTTTAGGCTTTAAGGGACATAGCACATGGTTTTGTCAGACAAACCAGGACATAGACAGGATGCAGAGAAGCACTCCCCAAATTTCAAAGGTCCAATTTTAAAATCTTTATTTCAGTAAAATCGTTTTTAAATCGTGAAATGCTATGCATCATTGCATTTCATTTGTCAGCTCTTCTAACAGTTGATTTTTAATACTATAACTGTAGTACTAAATTTGTTGGAAGTTGATTCATCATGAAGAAAAACCTATGATATAATGACAATGTAGGCCTACAATGTAACGGAGATAAAACGTTACTATTTCAGCTTAGCAAATGTCTAAGTCGAAAAATATGTCCCTAAGCAAATATCTTAAGCTGATTTATCAAACCATCTTATCAAAATCTTAGCTTAAAAATCATCTTAGATGGCACATGCATACAATGATTTTTTAAATTTTAAGTAATTTTTAAGCTAAGCAATATTGATAAATCTTAAAACTTAAGCAAAAAAAAAATGGACTTGACAAATTCAAGCTGATTTCTAGTTTAATAAATTAGGCCCCAGGGATATAAAGTAATAACAGCAGCCATTGTATTACATACAACATTCAATTAAAAAATTTATATGTATACTGTAGTATATATTAAAATTATATATAGTAAAGAAAAACCATAGCTAAGGTAATATAGTATAGGTTTAAACATTATTGATTCAATACAATAGTGTACTGACAACATAAGTTTTACAGAAATACAGTATTGAAACAATTAAAAGTGCAACTACTATATATAATTTGGAAGTTTGGACAAAGTTATAACTACTTCACTCAAATAAAGGGAAAAAACAACTCTATGAAATACATGTCTCATCAGATATTATTTACCATCTTCTCCATTCTGTGGTCAGATGACTAATATATAAATGGCCTATCCATTAGTTGGATAGATTTTAATAAATTCTAGAACTTGGAGCCCACATATCGGGGTTGTTTCCAAATGTTGACTTCAAATCATCTGTTGCCTCTGCAAGCTGCTTCTTTAATTCCTATTGCAAAACAAAAAAAAATTTTGCTCTGTCATTAAACTGTTTGATATTATCACACTTGTTTTACTTATACAGTATTCATATTTCCTCACATTGTACTATTAAAAGGCTGATTATTATTATTATTACAATTTTCATCAACTCTATCACATTTAATATTATTAACTTTTCCATGACAGCATTGTCTACAGTATCTTCTACACGTTAATAAGTGTCATACAGTACTTTGTCGGGGAGAGCACCATGGGACAGTAGGAAATTAATATTTGGGGTGCATGTTTCTGCTTTAAAACCTACCAATGCCATTCTTCTTGTGTATTTATTAGGAATTTTTCTATATCTCATCCTTCAGAAGGAGCGCAAGTCATTGGAGGTTTTAAATAAAAAATCTGTGCACAAAAATAACTTGGCTCAGGATTTGGAATTAGGTAGAGTACTGTCTCCTGGAGTAGAAGCATGTAGGGAATTATCTCCCAGTAGGAAATAGTCTTCCAGTTTAATAACAAATTCACATGCCATAGTATGTATGTCTGTCATAATAAAGGGAATTACCATTGGAATTTTCCCATAAATTTCCATTTTTTTTTTATGATTACACATTTGTGAATGATATACACATTTGCCTTGCACTGGATGAATCAGTACACAGAGATAGTGACCAAGACAAGGGCTGCAAAATAAACTAAAGAGCTGTTTGGTGCAGTGCTAATGGCTTGATTTCCTGAACTCAAGGTTGGGGATTCAAACCTTTGATGTGCATTTTGCCTGTGTCTTTGAGCAAGACACGTTATCTTCATTGCTTCTCTCCATCCAGGAGTACAAATGGGTATCTAGTTGGGTTGATTGCTACTGTGCTGACACAGCAGCAACACTTAAGCACGTGGACCCAATGGCCAGAGATAAAAGAGAATTTTTTATCCAAAAGGAAAGGTGCTACATAAATGCTCACTGACGAACAAATAAATGACATTACCTGTGAAAGCTGAGCAATCTTGCAATTCTGCTCCAACTGCTCAGGTTTGCTGCATCCCACGATCACTGATGCCACATTCTGTTGCTTTAGGAGCCAAGACAAAGAAGCAGTTGCCATGGGAACACCCTCTTTACCACATGCCTCACGAATAGATTGAATGGCCTGAAGGAAAAGAGAATCAAGATTTTGATGTCAAATGAACGCAATTCCTTTGGTTTCCAAAAGTTTGTGTAATCAACTGACAAGTGAGATTGCTATATATAACATTTGCGAAATCTATAAACTACCTTCAAAAAGTCAAATAAAACACAGAATTGTTTATTGTTAGAAAAGTATTTTTTTTAAATGCTCCAAAAACTAATAATTTAAATTAATTCAATTAAATAAATACATACATGTAAGCAAGAAGTAAATATGCCTAGTCATGCTATCATATTATCATTAAACGCTTTGGGGCTTTTATTAGTGTAAGGCGTTATATAAATCTAAATTATCATTATTATTTTAAATAATGAAGTATGTTATCAAAACAATTCAAACGTTTTGATAAGAAAAACATTGAATTGATTACCAAATTATTTAAGGGGACATTAAGAGAATTCAGGAAATGACGCATGTCAATTGATGATGAAAACGTGTTTTCTTATTCTTATTTTTTATTGCCAGAAACAATACAAAAACACATACAGTCAACTCAAGGAGTAGATAGGAACCAAAAAGTGAACTAAATCATTGAGGGCTAATAACCTACTGAAATATTAAAAATTAAGTAATTAGTATATTATTTCATGAAAATGGCTGTGTATCATTAAATGGAGTTCATCACCTTAAAAGTTTGATCCTCAGCTCCCTCCTGGCCATGGCGTGACATAGACGTGCTGTCTTTGTTGAAATGTCTAGTACGTCGTCTGCCTTCTGGCACGTCCTCTGGCTTGTAGAATTTTCCTGTCAACAATCCTTGCTGCAGGGGAGAGTAAGCTAGCACACTCATGTTGTTCTTGACGCATTCTGGAAGGATCTCAAACTCAACAGGATGCCAGAGTAGATTGTATGGCAACTAAATGTAAAATGAAATTGGTATTCATGGAGTAGTATAGTAAAAATACATACAAGGTGAAATTGATTTATGATGATGATTATGATGATGATATTGATAATGCTGATTATAAAATAATGATAATGATTTTATAATCATTATCATTATTTTATAACCAGCATTATCATTATCATCATCATAATGATAATGCTGATTATAAAATAATGATAATGATTGCAATTCTACTCACCTGGTTAGTGATCCCAGCCCCTTCCGCATTTATAAACTCTTTCATGTTTTCAACTCCAAAATTACACACACCATAGTGCTTTATTTGACCTTTGGCTTGTAGTCTCTTTAACTCCGCTACTGTTTCCTTGGCATCATTTATCATAACCGGCCAATGAACCTAACGGATGAAATGCAAAAAGAAAAAGATGTTGCCACTGTTAATATTCTACTTTCTTTAATTATTTGGTAGGTTTCTGTTGGTGATCATATTTTGTTTTGTACATTAAAAAATAAACCACAGTATTCTCCATATTTCCATAAAGACCACTTAATGGGTAATAATTAGCTCTAAAAATTGACATAAATGAAGGTATTATATATATTTTAGTGGTAATTTACCTGATACAGATCAACATAATCTGTTCTTAGTGCTTCCAAACTCAACCTTAATGACTGCCAGGGATTAAAAAAGAAATATCAAATTGATATTAGAAGAAACAAATGGAGGACATTTACAACTTCCAGTGACTTCCTTCTCCAAACACACATTTCATAACTCAGGTTATGAGTGGGTCAATTTTTTAAGTCAGGTCATGAGTAGGTCAATTTTATAAGTCAGGTCATGAGTGGGTCAATTTTATAAGTCAGGTCATGAGTGGGGCTTCATAGCTCAAATCATGTGTGAGTGAATTTCATAACTCAGGTCATGAAGGGTGAATTTCATAACTCAGGTCATGAGTGGAAAATTTCATAAGACAGATCACTCACACAATTTTAGCATTGTGGGTGAGCTAAATTCATATCTCAGGTCATGATTGCATCAAGTTCATAACTTTCTGCTATAATTACCTCTTCAATATCAGTGGCTTTGTACGGTGTCTTTATCCTGGCTCCAAATTTTGATGCGATGATGACATCGCTACGGCGATTCCCAAGACATTGCCCCAAGACTTCTTCTGATCTGTGCATTCCATAGGCCTATTAAATAAAAAATTTAAAAGGATAGAGTGGGAGGTAAGTAGTACAATTGATAAAGTAAAAGTCTAAATTATGGAGATGAGAACAAATTTACAATAATGAAAAATGTTTAAAGCAATGTTTCATTACCATGCAAATGACAATAAAGAATGAACTTAACCAAAGTGATTAGTTTGCTAAAATCAACTTAGCATCTTTGCCTTTTACCTTTCACCTGCTGTGACCTACCTCAGCTGTGTCAAAGAAGTTCACACCTAATTCAATGGCTTTGTTGACAATTGATTGTGAAACCTAAATGAAGAAAATTACAAAATATTTAAAAACATGCAGAAATCTTGGGAGAAGATGGTTGTTGGGAATTTTAAAGATAAAATGAAATAATTACTTCTATGGGTTGAGCTGGCCATGTTTCATCTGCTTTCCCTCCATTGAACTGCCAACAGCCAAGGCAAATCGGTGACACACTTAGGTCACTGTTCCCTAGCAATGACCTCTGCATATTTTAGCTACCTGTAATAAACAGTAATAACATAATTACAGTAATGTGGAGGAAATATGCTAAAGATAAGCCATAAGAGTCAATTCTGGTGTGGCATTTTCAGCCACTGCTCCAGCACTTAGGTTCAGGGGTCCCAAGAAGCCACAGAAGTATTCTGGAAATTGGGATGGCCTCCAGCACTTCTGCAACTGGACAAGAATCTCCCAGAAAATAACCTACTGTATCTCCAGCAAATTCATAAAATCTACTGTATAATCATTTGTCTCACAGAAGTCAGTGTCGACTAGTATCAAAATTAGATGTATCAAAAACAGATCTCCCAGAAATGACTTCTTTCAATTTGGAACCCCTGTAGGTGGCAAATAATAGACAGGGTCTGGTGGCCTCTCTGACCTCGTTACAAATTCTTAGATGGCTGCTGTGTTTTTCTACTGAATGTATATATTCAAGCCACCGGGCACCGCTTATCACACAATTCTGCACCGAGACAGAAGTTTAATTAACACAGAAGCCTAAGGCAAGACTTTTTTTATTCCTTGTTTCGTGTACTTATTTTTTTAAAGATTATCGGAGGAGGGCAGAATAAAATAAAAATAAAATTTTGTTTTCTTATTTAACAAATAGTAATTGCTAAAAACACCCGGATGAAGGAGAAAATAAAAATAAAATGTTATTGTTGAATTTAAAATGAGATGGTTAATATGCTTAAGATTTATATAATTAGGAAGAAACATACATATATCTTATTTTTGGCGATTTCAAGGCAGCGGAGGGCGTAATAAAAATTTTTTTATTTTCTCTGAAATTTCCATTTTTCGTGTGGGCGGGTGCAGTAATTGGCCAAAAATAAAATTTTAATTTTATTCGAAATCATATCAATATTTCCATTCGGCGGGTTTGCTAAACAAGGTATAAAAGAAGTCTTGCCTAAGGTAAAAAAGTAGGCTCCTCAGCAACAAAAGAAGTGGGTATAGCTTGTTTGGCCTAGACCAATTTTAAATGAATTCCTAATGTAATTCTGACCAGGGAGTCCCTGTATTGATTGCACGGTTTTATTAATAAAAATGGAAATTGACATGTATGTATTATAGCACCTTACACAATTTGAAAAATGCATGGATTGGAGTAGGATAAAATAAAAACTAGGAATTTGTAGACCGGTGTAACTATAGCCACAAGGCGTAGTTACACCATCAGCACATAGGCTAGGCGAAAGCACCATTTAGTTAGGAGCTATAATGGAAGTGGGAAGGTAGGAGTAGTCCTCTCTCTCTCTCTAGGCCGACCTAGCTATAGGCCTAGCTACTGTAGGCTAAGGCAGGCCCAAACCCAGAAATATCCATGGTCTAAAACATATACCTTGACCTAACTTAATACCAACATTCTTTTACAAATTAATGAGTAGGGGCACGTACACGGATACCGTAATGTACTGCAAAATCAGGGAGGAAAATCCAGATCTGTGCACAGAGCAGAATTCCGAATTCCAGGCACTGTTTTGTTTTGTGTACATTGACACGTGGTAGACTTAATTTTACACTGGTCTAGATTGCTAATAATCGAAGTGACTTGTTGATTGGCAACTGAATTTGTAGGTGAATTGCATCAAATTTACAATTAATAGTCTTACACTAAAAAGACAAATAACAATAATAATAAAATCAATTAAATTCAATTTATGCACTAAATACACTTTTGATTAAAATTATCAGGTAATTATGGAAATATATAACACGGAAGCACTGAGTGAAGACACAGTAAAAGAAAACCATTAAAATTGAGGGAAATCGGAATAAAAATGTATGAGCAGTGGCGTAGGCCTGGTGCATGGAGCATGGAGGGGTGGAGGCACACTTCCTTCCAAAAATTACTCGCGCTCCCCAGATTCCCCATCTCC